GTCCTCCTGGTTTCAGATGTTTCCATACGTCAACACAGCTGATTTAAAGAATCATTTACAGACTTCTGCACAACTAGGTGTTTGGGGATTATTTGATTTGAATTGGCTCTGTTGGTATAGGTAACATCTAAAACGTGCATGATAGGGGTCCATGAGGGCCAGAATTTGACATCCCTGACTTCTAGTCAAGGCCATACATCAGGAAAGTTGTTGTTTGTGACATAAGTTTTTGCTCTATTACTTCAGGGCCAACCAGTAGAGATAAAAGAACAGGAAAAATATTGAGAATTTCTTCCTTAAGAAGGCTAAAATACACCCAGAAGCAGAGAGCAATGTCAGGGAAAGGTGGACTGAGCAGCAGGCATCATTGTCACCTGTGAGTTCTACAAATGAAGGAATGTGTGAGAAGGAAAATGCAAGGAAGGGATGTTTATATTGTCAAGGTACTTGAGTAAATGTTCACTTTCAAAACATAAATATTTTGCAACTCCAAGTGCTGCTGTTTACAAATGTTTTTGTACTTCTTGTCTTCCTAACACGTAACAGACTCGTATTAAAAGTTCAAGAGGTTTATTTTTGCACAATTTATACTGAAAACATTATCAAAAGAAGGCATAGAAAGTATTTACTTGCTTTCAGGTTTCATTCAAATGTTAAGTCTTTTCATTTGTTTCCCCACTTTTTTCCTGTTTCAAAATGAAACACCAGTTTGTGAGAAGATGATCTTCTTTTTTTAACAGGCAGATAAAGTTTTGCATTGGCTAATTTGCCAACTGTATGTTAAAAATGTTCATATTTTAATATTCAAAAATGCTTTTGCTCAAAACATATGTGCACTATATGTCAGTAAAAATACTATGCAAATATTGCTGTCCTTGAATGCTGAATAAACACTGACAAAGCACTGATTGTATCTCTTGTACTTTATCAACACAGTATCTAAAAACTTTGCTCTGTAGTGGTTAAAATCTCATTCTAATAAGAGTTAAAAGCACATTCGGTTATTAGGTTTATAGGGTTATTGAATTATGGTTAACGGTTGGCAGAATTTTTTTTAACATTATCTGCCAATTACATCTGCCACCGTTCTCCAAATCTGTGCCCCTACCTGGCCCCCCCAACAAAAGTTTTCTAGACACGCCACTGCTTTAAAGTCTTCAGTGTCAAAACAGACATGTAATTGATTTATAAAATATATATAAATATTTGGACAGAGACAACTTTTTTCTAATTTTGGTTCTGTACATTACCACAATGAATTATATATATTTGTTCTGTTCCAGCATCTTCAGATATTCTTACCATTAGATGAAGGTCTTCCTGGGTGGGTCCTGGCACCTCAAAGCTTTCCCAGGTGTCTGCTGAGCGCCGATAAACCAGCTTAGTCCCTGCTACACTGTACTCGCCTGGAATGCTGATCTTCCAGTTTCCATTAATCAAAAACTGGGAGCGTCCATTCTGCAGGGCTGTGCAAGGGAAGAACAGGTCATGAGAATGAAGGAAAGACTGGCATGTCTTTCGACATCAAAAGAAACAGTTATGTTTCCTTATCAGTGGGTGAAGTTGAGGCAAAGGCCGGATGCCAGAAGCAGAAATATGGCGCCTGACTATATATGGCAGCAGTGACTCCTGGAGGGGAGAGATTTTCTTTTTTTTTTCTTTTTTTTTGTGTCCCGTTTGGACCTTTAGCCATCAGAATTGTTGTCTTAAGGCCAAAAAAGATGCCAAGCGGATTTATTTTACCAAGTGGATCATCATGGCCTTGCCATATTGGTCCATTTGATTGACCTTTATTATAATTATGTATTTATTTTACAAACGGGACAGACATGACTGGGGGATAGGACAGGGAGAAAGAATGAAAGAAAGAGAGGGAGAGAAAGAAAACCAGAGGGGAGAAGAGACGGTGAGAAAGGGGGGAAGAAAGAAAGAAAAACAAACAAAACACCTGGATCCCCTGTATGGAGAAAAAAAACAGAAGAGAAAGCAAACCAAAAAAAGAGCAACATAATAAAAACAGCACCATCACAATAAACTAGCTAGCAGTAGATAACAGTAGATACTAAATATTAAACGCTATTGTGCAGCACAAAGGATAGACAGCGCACAATGTGCTTTGAGGCAGCAGCCAAGAAGGGTGTAGTCTGCGTCTGTGTACACCTGTGTGCACACCTGTGTGGATCAGCACACTTGTATTCCAAAGGTTTCTCCATGTAACGATCTGCTAGGGAGTGTGGGGAGCCATAGCCCCGTCCCCCAGGGCATGAAGCAGGTATGGAGGAGATCCAGGCCCCAGACATCCAGAGGCCCCAGACTACAAGGACCCGAGGAGGACCACCAAAAGGGGGGGAACCGTGCCACCCTCCTGGGAAGAGCTGAGTAGAGCCCCAAACGAGAGGTCACCCAGCAGCTACAGAGCAGAGGCCACAGGGGGTTGCAGTGGCGTGCCCGCAGGCAGGGGAGAGATTTTCCATGACATGGATGGAAACAAGTACCTTCACCTGTCTTAACCAAGTGGTCAAATAAAGCCTTTATGAGGGTCTCTTTAAGGACAACAGCGCATTCTGTTTCAGGGCGTGTTTTATTTTGGTCTCATAAACCGTGATGAGAATAGATGCCCTTGGTTATTATGCTGCCTGGGAAACGTTCAGAGGGTCCAGAAACCAAATGGGACCGTCAAGCCCACTGTCTCCAGGGAGATGAAGCCACGGCATGTGTAGACCTGAAATATAAAACTGATTTACACTGCAGCTATGAAACAGTGATGCAAAGAGACTGCCATGGAATTAAGCTGAAAGTCAAACGCACAGCAGGCCTGGTGTGTGTAAAAGAGAGACAGGGAGAAAAAGCGGCTCTATAGACGGAATCTTACCAAGATAATTCCTGCTATTATCAGTGACTCGGATGTGAGTTGCTCCAGCAGGGATCATGGCCACTTCATTGTATCCAAAAGGCCCGCCTGACAGAGAGAGTAAAAGCTTGGTTTTAATTGGATTTCTTGCACCACATTCAGAAAAGGCCATTTTTTTTCCAATCAACTACACAAATACAACACCAACAGCAAGCTTGGATACAAAGTACCAGGAAGCCAGGAAACAAGAAAATCCTAGAAATCATCTAAAAGAAGCTTAGCGTTTGTTGGTTAAACAATAATCCCACATCTGCCTCTGGGATTGCCGAGAGAGTTATGGCTCAGTCTGCAGGTTGAAGTGTTTACTTATATAGATACGGTCCAAAAAAAGGATGTGTCTGTAATGTTAAAGCATCTTCACGTTCAAGTCATCTTACAAGACCAGACCAGCCTCCTGACAGAAATCAACCCCTCAGTTACTTGTTTAAACTCTTTTATTAAAAGCTAAATCACCAACACCAGATTACTAGACTACCACTTTATTAGAACCAGTCCATTTACCATTTTAGTGCAATGCTAAACAAGCAGTCACAAAGTTTAAACACTTTTTAAACATCTTAATGTTTTTCTATCATTTAGAACTTTTTTCTCATTTATGTATGTGAAAATTCCACAAAATGCTGTGGATGCTATCCTAACCCCACCCTTAACTCTAAATGGTCACATGGTGGATACCAAAAACCTGCTATGCATTACTGAATGTTATTTGAAAGGATATAAACTTCTCCAGACAATTGACTGTACTATTATCCTAGTTTGATACATTCAGTCAAACATAATAGATATTTAGAAGCATTCAGACTGTACTGTGCATCTGATACTCAGGGTCTACCTTTGTGTAACTGAGCAGTCAGTAAGTGCTCTGTAATCAGTGACTCACAGAAAACCTGGATTATTAATCACATGATTATAGCTTTTAAAAGAGCTTGCTGTACACTTGCAGGCTATGGTTTGTAACGTGTCATTATAAGACAAACGGGATCTGTAATGTCAGTAATATTAAACCTAATTAAGCACAAAGACAAAGAAATATGGACTCTAAACTCCCAACCATTCCTTACAGACCGATACTTCAAGAAATAGAAAAAGTCTCAGGTGTGTCCCCGAGCGCAAAGCATCAACAGCATGAAGCTCATTTATCATGACGTATAAAGAGTGTCTCACTCTGGTTTTTCTTTTCACCAGTTTCAGAGAAAAACTATTCTCGAGGTGAATCTGCAGGGCTTTATGATGATACAGTGTTTTGAAATGTCAAAGTGGTAGGCATGTGATCAGCGATGAGCTCGGGGCCATGTGCATTTAGAGCTTGAAAGAACCGTTTCGTGCTGCCCCATCGGCCCTCCCTCCACTGGTGAAGGAAAGGAAAAAGAGCCCTTGGAGGCTGCTGAGTCACCCAAACAAAGCAGCCTTTATCAGCCGTGTTCTTCTTTCTCAATCTGAGCCATTATGGGCCAGGACTTCATCTATCACCACTGGTCTGTCTACACAATGAGCTGTGAGAGAGAACCACTGTTACAGAGCCAAAGTGACACGCTTGAGGTGTTAGGCACTTTGTAATTAGGTTTAATTCCCCAGAATCTGGTGCTTATTTTTGTTTATTTCCATCTATTATTCTCAGACCATTAATGTTTGAGAATAACATGAAAGCTCTGTATTATGTTGAGGTTTCCATTCATTAGATGAATGCTCCCAGCTGAATAGGAATGCCCCCTAAACAAACCTCCAAACTCACATGAGTTAAAAAGTAACTATTCTGAGGATAAAGCAGCCAACAAATTCCAAAAGCTGCCATGTTCAAAAATCAAAAATCACATCAAAATGTAGCCAAAGTGCCTTAAACGTGCAAGGCCACTAGATGGCAACTGGTGTTTTTGCAAAAAGAATTTTGGTTAAATACCAATACTATGAAGTCTATGAAGTCTTGACCTCTGTATACACAGACTATTCCATGGTTTGCTCACCAGCTGATGACTTACATTAACATTTGAATTCTTAATTCAATTAAACAGGGCAAACAATGCAGTATAATACTGCTACACAGTGTGTGGGGT